TGATGGGAGGACTTAATAATGCAGAAGAAGAAAATTGAATAAAATTATCCAGATGAAAGCAAGAAGGGAAAAGCTTAAAAATGCACAAAACTGCTTAAATTGTAAAAAAAAAAATGGGTAAAATGTCCATTTTACATGAGCTGAGTCCCAGAATTGAGAGTAAAGTGGAAGGAATTGATATTGAAGACAATGACCAAGAGATTTCCCAAGGTGACAAAAGGCACAAATTTAAGAATTGATCCAAGTCCCATACAAGATGCAAACAAAGGCAGCCCACGTCTAGGCACTTGATAGGCAAAGTGCCTGAAGTAGGTGGATACAGAAATCAAAGAACAGCAAGTGTGGCAAGGGGAGGGGTTTGTAAGGAGCAATGCAGCCGGCAGCCTACATCTCACAATCAAACTCAGCAGAATAAGCACTTCCCTGGCAAGTGCAAGGGCCTGAGTTCAATCCCCGGTTCCACCAAAACAACAACAACAACAACAACAACAACAACAACAACAACAAAGTTTTGGGGGCCAGGGAGATGGCTCAGTAGAATAAGTGCTGGCCTGGCAAGCACAAGGGCCTGAATTCAATTCCCAGTTCTGAAAAAAAAATAAATAAAAACAACAAAACAAAAAAGAAGACAGACAGACAGACAGACAGACAGACAGACAGACAGAAAGAAAGAAAAACAAAACAAAAACCCCAAAGAAACAATGTTACTTAATCTGGGCATTTTGTTTGCTGCTTACAGGGTGCTGAGAAGAAGGGGAGGGCAGGCATGCTGAGTTCTAAAATGAGCAAATGCTATTATAGGTTAAGGCAAAATAAAGATCTAGAGTAACAAAAAGTGAACAAAACATGATTTTATAAAGGAAAGTTTTCAGGAATAGGCAATGGGAATATTGGTGAAATCATAGAAATGAAAAAAGCAATGGATAGGAAGAAATACTATGTGGAAATAAATTCATGTGAAATGAATAGAGCATCTATAGCGTGATATCTTATAGGATCTACAAGCACACACACAGAAAATAAGAAAAGCAACACAAAAGACAAGGATAAACTTGGAGTTGAAATGTTCTAATTTTTTGCATTTGCAAGAAGTTTATATGAATTGTCTTAGATGATTTGAGATCAAAAGGTTATAGTGTAATCACTGAAAGACTACAGAAGAATGGATAATTAACAAGCTTATAAAAGGGAGTGATGAATTCACAATTCTTAATTAGTTCAAATGAAAGCAAGAATGGCAAGAAATTAGAATGTACAACAAATGGGGTAACAGAAGTGTAAGAGAGCTAGCTTAAGTCCAAACATATCTGATGTATATTGGATATAAAATAAATATGCCAATTAAAAGGTAAAGACTGGTTACAAAATATGCTACTCTATATGTCTCTTCTACAACACACATTTTAAACGTAGAGTCACAAATTTGAAGGTAGTAAGATGGAATAAGTTATATCCAGAAAAGTGATAAAAAAAACCTGACATAGATATACTAAGATCAGTAGGAGCTGATTTTTAAAGCAAAAACATCACTAAATATAAGGTGGGACATTTAATGATTAAAATCAATGCTCAGGAAATTTTCAAGAAAACTAGGTACATTAATAAACTGAGGGGGAGACAGCTAGTTATATTAATAGACACTCAAAGAGCTTCAATGGTTGGTAACTTAAAACAATTAGATATACAAATATATAATACAGCCATAAAAAGTAGCAAATTCTGCTGTTTGCAACAATATGGGTGAACCCGAAGGTATTGTGCTAAGAGAACTAAGTCAGAGAAAGATACACAGGGCATGATTCCACTCTTAGGCGGCATCTACCAGCTGCAGCACAGCGACGGAGTTACCTGCGGTGGGATGGGAGGGTGAGAGGCAAAGGGACACGTGGGTCAAAGATGTGAACTTCCAGTCACATGACCCAAGCAAGTCCAGAGGCACGGTGGCTCGGGTTAATGATACTAAGTCGAATTCTTGCAATTTGCTTTAATGTTCTCACCATGAGGCAATAGGTAACTGGGTGAGATGATGGGGGAATTAGCTAATTAGATTGTGATAATCATTTCACAAACATGTGACTATCAAAGCATCCACTGTACATCTGAAAAATCAAACCATTTCATCGGCCAATTAAACATCAGTAAAACTGGAAAACTTTTTTTAAAATACAACTGGTTTAAAGATCTAAATTGAAAGCACATACCTGCAGAACAAATAAACCACAAAACCAAAAACAAAATCAAAACCAAACACCAAACACTGTTTTCCCCAAAATAAGACCTAGCTGGAACATAATAAGCCTTGAGATTTAGAGACTGAAAATGTCAGCCCTGCTCAGCCTTTCCTATCTTACACAACAGCCACCGAGCAAGAGAACGGAGATGGCCGGTAAGGCAACGAAAGGTTAAGTGGAGCTGCTAGTTTTGATCTCTAGTCTTCAAGGCTGATTATTTTCTTGTGAAGTCTTATTTTCAGAAAAAAAGAGTAAAGAAAACTACTAGAAGAAAACTTGGGAAAGTATTTGTGCTGAGCTCCTATAGGGTGCTCAGCATAACTGGATTTCCTTTACTCACCTGCTAACTCCTTAGCTTTGCAGCCCACAGAATTCTAGTAGAAAAGCTATGTAATTTTTTCCTATATGTTTCCATAACTGCTTTCCCATGGCACCAATGAAAGACCTTTGAATGCATATCTTACTCATCAGATGTGCTCTAACAAAGGAAAGCTTTAGTACATTCAGTACCAAGGACATAACAGATATACAGCATGATTTTTTTCCCCAAACAGATGAATGATGACCATTGGCCAGCACTGCCACAACCATTCAGCCTGCCAGAAAGGCAGAGCTAGACTGCCTTGTTGGGTAGTATATCAAGCTTTGGCTTTGAGTCAGACTGACCTGGATTGACTTGGTGTGCAAGTGGTGACATCCTCTGTGATTTACTTCTCTGCAGTTGATTTTCAGTAAGGTGTTTTGGGCACTACAGGGTCTGTCTGTACTCAATGTTGAGAAACTGTTAACCTTTACCGATAGTACTATTATGAAGTTGGACGATGGTAGGTGGCTTGCTGTGGCTGAGGGTGAAAGATGCTTGACCTTCCCAGTTTCTACTTCATGAGTGAGACAGTCAGCTGGGGTAAAAGTAGAGTACCTTCACTGAGAGCTTCACTGCTTCCTTTGCATTAGATGTGACTTTCTTTGGCCCTCATAACTCCTCTTAGATAGTCTGTCTCAGTGGTCCTTGCCCCTGGCTGTGCCTTACAATCACCTGGTCTCACATAGAACCAATTAGAATGTTCTCCAGGGGGTTGATGTGCATCTGGGACTGAGGACTGCTGGTCTTTTACTCTCTTGTTTCCAGTATAATGAGTCTTAGATCACAAGTGTTTTCTTGGAGAGAAACAAATAAACAAATAAATCCCCAATTTTTGGCCAGGTCTGGTGGTATGCACCTATAATTTCACACCCTGGGAGGCTAGGCAGGAGCCCACCTTACAGAATTTAGGAAGACCCTGTAGTAAATGTAAAATAATAAAAAAGAGTTCTGGCATTTAATCCCGAGTGCTGTATAAAAAAAATAGTTTCCTAAAACAGGCAAGAATTAAGCAGAAAGAGCAGGGCTTATGGCGCCAGAAGCCTACAGCTCTAGCCCTGATTCCAGTTGGAGGGGGCATCCAGCAACCACAAGACCTGTATATCCTTGGAGTGCCAGGCAGATCAAACAAGCTTAATGGAATCTCCTGTTCTGTCCACCTCGAATTGCAGTGTGAAGGTCAAAGTGGAAAACAGTTAAGGCTTTTCAAAAGTTTGGAATACTAAGTAAGTAGTACAATTTTTTGCTCTGCTCATAATTTAAAAATTCTTACTGCCCAGGTGACTAGGTGTGGGGCCTTGCACAACTCATTTTAGCTAAGATCCAAATTTCTTCGATAATATGGTAAAACCTTATTATCAGCTTTGCTGATCATCATTCTGGTTAGCAAGAAAGGAAACAATGGAGACTGAACCCAAGATGCTACACAGCCATCCTGCTTATTTTTGTTTGGTGTTATTGCAAAGCTGTGAGTAGTCTCACTTGGATTATTGAACTTGATCCTGTTAGCAAATTTCATGGTCTTTCATGGAAGTAGGTGCTGATACTCACTCGATCTTAAGTACACAGAATTTTTACCCGAAAAGCTCTGATTCTTTGCAACAAGTCTCAGGGAACTTTTGGTTAAAACTGAGCCTGCCAAGGACCAGGTACAATTGCTGTGTGGGAGCTGCCATCCCCTGGGCTTTCCTGACTACTAAGTGTGTGATGGAAGATCAGTGCTGCAAGAATCAACCTAATCGAGGTGGGTTGAAATTCTTTGATCTAGAGCCGGGGAGATGGCTCAGTAGAATAAGCGCTTCCCTGGCAAGCGCAAAGGCCTGAGTTCAATCCCCGGTTCTGCAAAAAAAAAAAAAAAAAAAAAAAAAAAAAAGAAAGAAATTCTTTGGTCTAGGGCGTCAAAATAGGAGAAAGAGGCCCAGAGGCCCAGGCAGGCTAATGCCCAGGCCGAGTAAGTGGTCACCTACCTCTGTCAGTACATTCTCCTCTGAGCTGTGCTACCTGGTACCTCTCTCTGAACTCCAGACATCTATGTTCTCTAATACAAGCCTGTGTGCCCTAATGTTGACTCCCAAGTCCAGTGATCATAAGACTTGTTTCTGGGACACCCAGGATTTAGACTACTGAAAATGAAAGTGAGAGAAAGGGAAATTAGCAGTTTATGACTGATTTTGCCTCTCCTGGTGTTTTTATTCTTACCTTTAGCAGAGTGATACAAATGTATGTTGTCAGCCAGTGACATAAGCAGATTTTCCTTAGGAAAGGAAAACCTGATAATTACTACTGTTGGGGCACATCTTTTGCAATTCAGGAAACAATAGACTTAGGATGTCAGGTTTCAGAGCAAGTCTCTGGAGAAAGCATGAGCTGTTGTTCCAAAGGAGACTCTGACAGATGTTCCCGCTTACCTACGGAGATGGTCCAAACGGCAATGATTTTCAGAAATGCCTTAGTTCTGGAGTTGAAGCGGCTATGGTGGATGGGGTTCTGGATGGCCACGTAGCGGTCCAGTGAGATGGCGCAGAGGTGCATGATGGAGGCCGTGGAGAAGAGCACGTCCAGGTAAATCCAGACTGCACAGAGCTTGCTAGGCAGAGGCCACCGGTACCCTACAACACAGAAGCTCAGTGTCAGTAAGCCGTCCCATGCCTCCCAGGGCCTGTGAATTATGCTCTGGGACACAAGTTTCTCTTGTGGGCAAGGCCACAGGTGAGTGCAAGGGTAATGCCAAACATTTTAAGCATCAGCACAGACTCTGATAAGCAAATGTGTTTGACTATGACTGGTGAACACAAGGTCTGAGTTTTTCTGCTATCTGGGATTACATTCCTGTCAAGTGACAATGCAAATTTTCCCTCTTCAGGGGTTCTCTTGCCTTCCTACCACTTAGCAAAACTATTTAAAAATGATTTGGGGCCTGGAGTTGTGCTGTGCTTTGAGATTCTTTGTGGGAGCACCTCTCACATTGTACTGTCATTTTAAAAAATATTTATTTATTTATTTATTTATTTATTTATTTGGCAGAACTGGGGATTGAACTCAGACCCTTGTGTTTCCCAAGGAAGCGCTTACTCTACTGAGCCATCTCCCTGGCCTATACTGTCATTATTTATTCACACATTTTCCCTGCAGATTGTAGCTTCTAAGCTTCGTCCTATCATAGTCATTATTATAAGCACCTGGTCTCATGCACCAATGGCCATACATGGTATGGGTACAGATGACTAAATGACTAATAATCCAGTTGGGAATACGTCTTTACTTGTAAAAATGAGAAATAGCTACCTAGTGATGCTTTGAGTGTAAACCTCAAATCTAGGGTGTGTGGGAATATTGAAGACGGTGGTGACGTAATGCTGCAGCTGTTCCTTGGACCACACTTGGAGAGCTGCGTAGGTGGCGGTTCTCTCTCTGACCTACACACAGAATCTGCTGGAGAGCTTTAGAGGCCAAGCCAGACGGTCCAGATAAACATTCTCAGGAGCTGACTGAAGGCATGTCCCGAAAGAAAATAGGTTTTAAAGCTCCCCAAAGACTCTAGTATATAGGAAGCACTGTGGTTCACCTGCTATATTAAGGACATAGAAGACATCGGCAAAGTGTCCTCTTTGTGTATTTTAGAAAAGATCAAACGGTTCTATAAACTGTTAAGTAGTTTTGGTAGCAGCATAAGCAATGGTGTCTGCATATAAGGAGTGTTATAAGGAACACTCTTCTTTCGCAATATCACAGATTCCAAAGCTGCACAGACTCCACAAGTGAACTACTCTGACTACCAAGGGGCCACTGGGGACAATTAGACAAGGAAAGGGTGCAGTCACATCTGCATTTAGAACCTTTCCCTCACATGGTTTGCAAAGTGACTGAGATGAAAAGAATGCATGTTCTTCAGCAGCGCCTGAGGGGAAGTCGGCGCAGCCTGTTCAGAGCTGATGTTGGCGCTCGGAGGGCTTTTCTCTGGGAGGAGGCAGCCGCGGACCTTAGTCCGGGCTTTTGCGGTGGGGATAAGGAGTGGACGCTTCCTCGGACAAGACCGCTGGGCTGCACCCCTGCAGGCTGAGCGAAGCTGGAGGAACTGCCAGGGCGGGTGCCGAGGGGCTGCTGGGTGAACGGCTGCCACAAGAGGGCGCCCTTGCATCTGGGCGCCTGGCACCAACCGGTGGTCCTGGAAATTCCGCCAGGCCCGCCCCACCAGTCTGCGGAGGTCACCCCACCTGCTAGCAGCGCTTTCGGTTTCCGAGGTCACCCCCCACACCTGGAGTTTGCGTCTGATTGCGGGTAGGACTTTTAGGAAGCGTAAAACCCCTCCAGAATGCCTGAAAAATGATAGGCACACGAAAAAAAATTATCCCCGTGTGGCATTTGAATGGTCAAACGGGTGCTGAGCTCTGCAGGCGCAGTGGCAACCCTGTACAGAGGGATGCCTGCTCTGCCTTGCTCACCTTCTTCCTCCTCCTCCTTCTTCAGGGCTAGGTGAATCTTTCCTTCCTTCCTTCCTTGCTTGCCTCCTTCCTTTTTTTCTTTAAGCCTCTAAAAGTTGACCTGAAAATGCTTTATTAAAAACAGCTATCAACCTGTTTCCAGACTCTCTGCAATCTGCTGATGTGTCCATTCAGCAGTCTCAACATTCTCTCCTTTGCTTTCCGTTTAGAGAGAGATTTGCCTATGTTACTTATCACTTGGAAAGAATATTTCAATCTGCTCCCGGTGAAGCGTTTCCAGTGTTTGCTGATTTGCTGAGATGCTTATGTCAATCTAGGTTGAGAGGAAAGCAAGAGGAACCTTTTTCCACTTGTTTTCACCCTTCTGCAAACCAGACTGAAAGAGCTTATGCACATGCATTTTAAAAGAGCTTAATTCAAAGACACATTTCCAAATTAGCTTCTTTGAGGCAGAAGCAATTAATACCAGAGTAATTCATTTATTCTAATAGAGACTCTAAATATTTTAACATTAAACCTGCTCCACTCCTAATGCTTTCTCTGCAAACATTCCAAGGTAATTGAGAAGGTTTTACTACCTCATTAGAAGTGCTGGAGACTGTAACAAATATAAAACTGGCCTGTCTAAGGCTTGAATACTTGGTTAGGAATATAAAGGGGCAGAAATCAAGTAGATTCAGAATGATGGCTAAATTGCTGTTCAATGACTCTATTGGGTTATTTCTAATCATTTATGCAAAAAGTATGTACTAAAACACACAACTTTATAATTTTGTAAGAAAGCTCAAAAGTAATAATCTCAGATAACAGGTGTCTGTGTTTTTTAAAGTGAAACATCATTTTAGGAGTTAAAATTTGAATAATGTAATGTGATGGGCTCTAGCCTATAAGAAAAACCACCTATTATGGCTGAACCCCTTGCCACACTCTGCTCAGGGCATGCACATGCTCTTTGGGAGCGGCGTGAGTGCAGCTAGGAAGGGAATGCCACTCACCATACAGGATGGTTAACATGGACACAGGCATGACCAGGAAACCCAGCAGCATATCAGCTATGGCAAGGGACATCAGGAAATAGTTGGTGGCGTTCTGCAGCTTTTTCTCTAAGGACACTGCCATGATGACGAGTATGTTTCCAGCAATGGTTAGAATAATCACTACAGCTGTCAATAAAGCAGACCAGTTTTTTTCCTGGAGATGAAGTAAGGAGAAACATGTTGGGGAGAGGCACCCTTCACAGGAAAGGTTGGTTCGATTTTCAGAATCTACTGTCCAGTTAAATGCATCAGACGTATTCGTTTCTCCTGAGTGAAAGGCATTGTAGAGCCTTGTGTCATCATTTACTTGCATTAAGGAGTTCGGAGTTGAGCTTAGAGAAGTGTTTTCTTCACAAAGAATATCCATGTTGATGCCAGGACTTGGAGCAGATGAGGTGTTGAAAGACTCACACGTTACAGCTTCCCTTCACCATTCATCTTTGCGTCCCCGCACGGCACCATGTGGAAGCTGGCGGACACGGGGACTCCTTTGGCTGACTTTCTCTCCGTCATTGTAACAACAGTTAAAGGACTGGGATGCTTCTTTATATTTCCTCTCTTCGCAGTTTCAGTGCAGTCTGCTATTGGGTTGTATTTTTTTCAGCAAGCAATGAGCGATGACAAAAACAAGCAAACAAACAAAAACAAACAAAAACAACAACCCCCCCAAACCAAAAAAAAAAAAAAAAAAAAAAAAAAAAGAAAGAAAGAAAAAAAGACCACTAAAACACCCAACCACAACAAACTTTTGCTACCGAGGAGGGTGCAGAGTTGTGAGAATTTAGGAAGACAAATGTGATCCTGGCCAAAGAAGAAAAGTTTTGTAACTACTAGAAATCTTGTTTAGCTGTACCTCCTTCAGTTAGGTACGCTCATCACACAAACTGAGCCATGGCTTTAAAACAGGGTGCAATCCAAGCCAGTGGTGATGTATGTGGTTGACATTAAGACAGCCAATTAAAGATGTACCTGGCGTTAATCCTCTAGTAAGTAAATGGATGCACTTTAGGTAGTAGTTCTGTCTTGGTCTGAGGTGCTGCAGCAGTTGCTGCCAGGCATATCAGCTTGTATTATGAAGCTTAGTTAACACAGGGAAAAAGAAAAGTCCTGGAGATTGACAGAGAACTTTCTACCCCAGAGATTCTCATGGAAATGAATTCATTTTGGCCAAGCATGATTTCAAACCAGAAAGAAAAAGAAACAGAAAAAAAGAAAGAAAGAAAGAAAGAAAGAAAGAGAGAAAGAAAGAAAGAAGAAAGAAAAATCACCCAGCAATCAAAGAGTAGCCGGAGAACTTACACTTGTCCCCAGGATCCATGAAGCAGATACATTGGGCTATTCTGTAACTCCCCTCCTTTCGCACGGTCATTAAGCCAGCGCACAAATCCCTCTCCAGGAGCTTCCAGCGGCACAACAAGATAGTAATTTGATTGTTGTTTTTGCTGACTTGAAAAACTGCATGCCAGAGTGCAGCGAGTTCCAGCCCTGTGAGGTCCGAGTTGGCTTCCTTCTGCTACCGCGCGGCGTGGGTCCTTCCTCCCCGCGCGGCTTGCTTGCCTCTGCCGGCACACGCTGAGAAATCCTCCACCAGCCCTTCCCAAAGTCACACAAAAGAACCACGCGAGAAAGTCGCAAGAGCGGTCTGCGCTCAGGGCTCTGGTTACCAGGGGGACCGAGCGGCTCTGGGGCTACAGGAACACTTCATCAGACCTCCCGGTCTGCGTGTCAGAAACAGCAAGGTAGCAACAGCCAGGGAGGCGGACCAAACAGGCTTTTCTTTCTTTCAGTTTTGCTACATGTTAACATTGAGAAGTTTCTCTTTGCTTTAAAGAGAAACGGGAGAACCAGCCTTTCATGCAGATTCCTGATCAGGCAAGGAAGCTTCATGGCAATAATTTACTGAACTGATGGGAGGAGAGTGACCAGAGAGCGTAAATAAGGCTGGTGACAGTGTGTCCTGGGAGCTGGAATCATAAAGCCCTTCCATCCACAGCCAGCAGAGTGACGTCCAAGTGGAATTACGGACATTGACAGCACAAGCTAGCGGCCAGGAAATCAGTGGCAATAAGTCTGATAAACTATCAGTACTATTTCTATTTTTTTGCTAAATATATACAACAGGCTTATGTTTTCTCCAACAGAAATAGAGCACCCAGAAGCAGCTGAAAACTTTACATAGGGTAGGCGATGAGGTGGTTTTTCAGAAATAATGCTAAAGGACACTGCTTTCCATGAAGAAGCCTTTTCTCAAGAAGGCTTTTAAGGAAGGTAGATGTGTATCATTTTTATAGAAGAGAAAGTGGATTTTTTCTGGAATAGTTGGAGTTTTTGAAGTTTCTGTTTATTATCATCTTCTTGTATTCTTTACATTTTTCCTTAGACATTTCAACTGCTCTTGGGCCTTCACAATATTTGTGGCCAAATCTGTAACTTCACAGCACATTATTTCCAGACCTCTGGTTTCTTCCTTTGATATCCTCGCATTGTCTGTCATTGCCCATCCCCCACCTCTATCAGTGCTTATTTCCACTCATTCTCCTGTTCCCAGAGTCACCATCTCTCTAGACAGTTGGCTACAATCCCATGCCCTTCCGCTCTTGTCTCTGCCAGCTCTCACTTAGTCTCCAGCCCTACCTCTGTGTACATCTTTCTCGAATCTCCTCTGCTGCAGCCCTCAGCTAGATGCTCCACAGTTGAGGGCTGCTTCATCTACCTCCTGAGTGGGTGCGTCCATCTCTGCCTCATTGCCCTATCACTGTTCCCCCGACCCTGCCACCAAATGTGTGTCCTGTGTAGCAGGCAGCTGAGAGCACAGGTTTGGGAACCACAGTTCCTTGGTTTTGGGTCTCAGCTCTGTAGCTCGAGAATGGGAGAGCCTGGGGCAGTCCAGAGGCTTCCTCTAAGCTCAGTGTTCTCTCTGTACTAGAGACAATGGTGGTGCCTTCCTCCTAGGGTGGTAGTGAAGTTGGGATTAGATAATTTGTTTTTTTAACTCATGTCTAGTATACAGGATGTTTAGTACATGTTTGCCATTTTTCTCTGATTAATATTCTTACTGATATGACAAAATTGGCACCACTTCCTTGCCTGAATTCCATCAGCCTCTTTATGGGGTATATGATTCCTTTCTTATCTTGTTCTTCACCCATACCCCTTATTTCCAGATCCTCACTCTTGTTTCTTTCCCTATGTGCAGCCTCTCGAATGTTTCTGACCATTTTTATGGCTGTCCTTGTAGTTCCCTATGTCGGGAAGGCTTTCACCATCTTTCTCTTTTTGTCCATCTGCCAAAATCCTAGTCAGTTTTGAAGCACAATTCCAAAGTTATTGCCTGTGAGAATCCAAGGCCTGTCTCTCACTATTCATGTGAACTTGCTTAAATTTTTCAATCTCTAAATTTTAGTATAATTGTCTATAAATAAATATTACTAGTATACCTCAGAGGATTGACTTGATAGCAAAATACATTTACATAAGTGCTGGCCCATTGTAAGCACACAGTAAAGGTTAGATACTATTGTTTTTATTTTTATTATTAAGCTTATTGTGGCCCTTTCTTTTCAGTAGACAGAAAGACTATAATATCTTCTTCAGCTTTCCATTTTAATAGTCATTGCATTGCATGCAAGCTCCGTAAACACAAGAATTGTGTCTCTCTTGTTCAGGATTAGCCATATGGTTGGTACTTAAATGTACTGAATGAATGAGTATGCGGCTGATTTATAATTACCTATTCACATGTCTATCTTCTCTTAATAACAAGAGGGCTGTTCTCATGATAGAAGGCTTTCAGTAGATGTGTTTTGATTTAATTATTAACATATATTTAAAAGGAGAGTTAGGGAAATCTACAAAGCTCTAATGTTTTTCATTACTTTGCCCAATGCAATGCTATTGTAATTTAATTAAAATGGGCACAAGGCAATTTTATTTAAACACTCCAGTGTTGGGACATTACTCTAAATCTTCTTGATGTTAAATTTTGTGTTATGGACTTCTTTTCTCCTTGATGAAATCTATTATTCTCAGACCATTGTGAACAGTTGTGCTGCTAGCACGGTGGAACTGGTCAGGGAATTTCCTGTTCTGTAATTTACATAGTACAATACCTATTAGTAACTATCCAGGGCTGTTTGCAGTTCTTGCAGTTTTGTGATTGTTACAGACAAAGCAATATGGGCTCAATTTGGCTACTGATTTTTTTTTCTTTTTTTGAGGTGGTCTTGCTCTGTAGTTCAGGTAGGTCTTGAACTATGTTGCTGAGTTGGCCTCAAATTTGTGCCCCCCGAGTGCTGTGATTGTAGGCGTCCTCTGCTGATGACTGATTCATATCTATTAGTAGCAAGACCTATATGTAGTAGGAACAGTTTCTTTCAGGCCACCCACCCCCACCCCACCCCAGAGATCTGGTGATTCTGAAGGCTGCAGGGACACTGATGTGTGGCACCACTCTCAAGTGACAGGTGACAGCTCCCAGTGAGCTCTGTCTGTAGAAACTGTCCTCAGCCAAAGAAGTTCCCTTATGTACAATCATTCCTCTTCTCTGGACAGCCAGCATGCCACTGAAGTCTATCATGGGAATCGGTCTAGCTTGCTGGCCTCAAGGCGGGGTGTCCCTTGGGATCTGCTTTCTCTGGAGCTCCCCTGCAGGACCTATGAAGACCTCTGTTATGAGTGACTCTCTTAAGTGGTTACGTCTCTCACCCAGTCCTGCTTCCCTGCTCCTCCGAAGGTGCTGATCTGAGTGTTCCCCATTAAGTCCTCTTACACATGCTTGTCTCTCCCTAAGATTTAGTTTTTTAAAAAAAAATCTTTTGTTTAAATGCCTTGATACCAGCACTAGATAAATTGGATGGCTTGCAAGAACAGAAAGATAAATGTCGTCTACATAGTAAGGGGATGAACTTCCTGGGCATGGAGTCTCAGCTCTTGAATTGACAATTGACTTTGTGACTTCATTACTGCCTGAAGAATTTTAAGTTGAGAATTCAAAAATTGAGTTTATTATTCTCAGCAGAATTCTTCTAGTACTTGAGTAGAGTGTGTATTTTTATTGAGATGTATTTTATAACTAGTTTATTCTGGAGTGTTCAACAGAAAGTGATTGCTTAAAATTAGATGTTTATTTGTTTTTAATGGCTGCAGTTTATTAAAAATTCATAGCTGTTTAATTTTTTCTACACTAAAGATATTGGGTTCTAAGACATTACTACTTATAGAGGTTAATATATGTGGGAAAAACTTCTGTAAACAAATAAATCTGGAACATACTATTTCTTCTTCCAGCTCCTAGAAATAAAGTACACATTAACATTTTTAAAGGCTCTAAGATCCTACAGCAAAAAAATTTGTTTACATTTGTCTCTCTTACTCCTACTTTTGCAGAACAGTAACTGTAGGTCAATTTCATTCATTTAAACTGAGTTATGTTTTATAGTCATTAAAATATGAAGCTCTTAATTGTATAGTTCAGTGAGTTTTCACAAATACACTTACTTATGTAACCTAAGTTAAGATAGTGTTTTCCCTGAAAAGTTCCCCTTTGCTGTTTGAACCTTTTCTTCAATTGAGACATGACTTCTTACCGTGCATAGTGTATCTATGAGATGCATCGATGTGACTATAAATAAACTTTGCGAAATATGGATTGTACTTTGAGAAGCACTTAAATGGTTTAGAAATTCAAACAATTAATATTCACTTTTTTTTTCTTACTCAAAGGAACATAGACTAGGTCTTGGGTCTATCTGCAATTTTTAAGCTTAGCTTTTCAGGATAGTTCTAATGTTAACCTCCATTCAGTTGATTGTATCTGATCTTGTTCTGAATTGGTAGCACAGACTACTTTTATTCCATGTACTTTCTTAAGAATATGTCCCTGAGACTTCTGTTGACTGCACCTTACTATTGTGTAAGAGAGGAAAAAAATCTACAGGTTTTTCTCACATCATGAGGCCACTTTTCAAATCCAAGTTATTGGAATTTTTGTCCAAAGAATACTGATAATTTAATTAGCTAAGCCCTTGGGCCTTCTATTAGAATCTCAGCTGAGGAGTGCGTCACAGAAATCACTGAAATGAATCAGAAGGTTACTTCAATTTCATATAGCCACACTACACATTGAAGTAAAATTACTCTTCTTATCAGATTATATTATCAGTTTATGTCATATTATTATGTCATCTCAGATTATGCTCAACTATTCTGTCTAGGATAGGATTGTACATTTTATTTCAGTATGCTGCTTGAGATCATATGTTACTTTTTTTTTTCCATGACTGTGAGATAACTGAGGTGAGCAACTTATTGAAAAGGAAGGTTTATTTAATCACAGTTTCAGAGTACATTTTGGTGAGAATGTTTGGTAAAGGAGACCTGAAACCTTGTGATGGCCTGGAAGCAGTGACAAAGAGAGGAGGAGGCCGGAGTTCAGTATCTCCTTCAAAGGGACATACTTAATAACTTCCTATCACTAGGTCCCTGCCTCTTAATGTCCCATTAATGCCACTGAATGGCAATCAAAAGTTTACTATGTGGGCCTGTAGGAAACAGCCAAGATCCAAATTATATCACACTGCCATAATTTGGGAATAAAAAAGATATCATGTATTATATTTGTAAAAATCAAGTGAGATACTTTCTGCCTTTAGAACAAGGAGTCCGATGCTCCGCTTTGAGGCTCACCACTATCCCACATCTTCTGAAACTGAGGAAGGCTGTGAAGTCTTATACCAAAGAAGTGAATTCTGCTTTAAACTTCATGTGGAGAGAGAGCTTCTCAGTGTATTGCTGCCAAGGCTTCTTGGTGCCAGAGGTGTTTTTGGCTTTTAGACCCTTACAAATAGCTTGTCTTTTGCCATATAACTGCCCTGTGCTTTGAG